TCCTTCCTTCCTTCCTTCCTTCCTTCCTTCCTTCCTTCCTTCCTTCCCCCTCCCTTTTCTTCCTTCTTTCTGGTCCATGAGACTGCCCTGAAAAGAGCAAAAGACTGGACCACAGTGCCTCTGCCAGCGAAAATGGACCTGAGGGCCCCCCCTACCAGCCTCATTTTTGCTAGCAGAGGGCTACAGGAAGCTGTCGTAACTGAAAATGGGGCCTGGGGGCCCACATGCACAACATGCCAAGCTCCGTTTTTTTGCAGGCAGAGAGCTAGCAAAACAAACTAAAAAGAAAATGAAAGGAGAAAGGTTTCCCCTTTTGCATTTGAGTATGCAAGAAGGGACAGGAAAGGAGAAAGGGAAAGAGGAAAGAAAAAGGACGGAAGGATGGGAAGAGAACAAGGAAGGAAAAATAAGGAAAGAGGGGAAGGAAGGAAGGAGAATTCAGAGGGAAGGGAAAAGCAGAAAAGGAAGGAAGGAGGGAAGGAAAGAAGGATATGAGAGTGAGGGTCTGAAGAAAGTTGTGCCTCAGCACTTGGCCACCACAGATGCCCAACACAAGTGGCATGGAGCTGACCACGTCCACCCTGACCACACCGACACGGCCACACCCACCCCAGCCCTCCAAGGTCAAACATAACCCTGATGAGGCCCTCAATGAAATCGAGTCTGATACCCCTGATCTAAGCCATTACATAGTTCCTAGGAGAGTTATGGCAAGAGGGCACCAATTACATTTCAGTCCTCCCTTTTTTTCCCCTATAGCTTTCCCCCAAAGTGGAGAGCTACCACCTCCTGGTGCTGTGTGACACTTTCAATTCCAAGAATGTGCTTTCAGAGGGCACCAAGAGGCTAATGTCACACCCTTCTAGGACGTTAGCCATCCTTCTGAAGTCAAGCAGTAGCTGCAGAAACCCTCCCTGGGGGGTTGGGGGGGGGAACCTATCTCTGCTTGAAGGACCTCTTGGGGGAATCCAAAACTCCACCTGCCAGAATCCCAACGGTGTTATTTCTCAAATGTATTCGGGCGCTGGAACTGGGCAAAGGCATCCACAGAAGTTCTGTGGGTTATGAAACCAGAGCAACCGATTTGACCGATGCTACGGTATGTTCTTCCCGGCCAAGGAATTCTTCTCCTGTCTCCAACTTGTAACCTGAGAGTAACCCGAGCTTTGAAAGGGACAGCAGGTTTGGGGGTTTTTTTTTGGGGGGGGGGGTGTTAAACAGACAAAAGGCACGAGGAGGAACGGAGAACATTTGATACTAGTTGAAAGAATTTTAATTCTGTCTCTTGACAGCAACGAGATGCCAGTTTTCCCAGCCAACTTTTGCAGAACGGTTTCAAAAACAGGTTTTCAAAAACGAATCAGCCCTATCACTTCCCATGCTAACAAAAGGGGTTCAATCAAGTTGTTTCTGGCAATACTTTGAGTTGGCAGACGAAGCTCTTCTCTTTAAGGGCGGCAGTGCCCTCCAGTGGGGTCTTCCCTGGATCAGCCTCTGTCCCGTTCATCAATCCCCACGGATGAACTCAAACCAACGTTGCCAGTTCTAACACATATAAAGTTGTGATTATCGCCACCGGCCTGTCGCTACTCCAAAACAACAACAACAACAACAACACAACCCAAAAGAACAGAGGAGACCCTGCCGTCATCACACGGTTGTATACATTGTTTTAATGCCACCCCAAGTCACTTCAAACCACTCTCTGCTTTTTAATCTGGCAGGTTGGTGGCTGCCGATTCCAATCCTTGGCAGCCTGAGTTCTGCTGATATTTGCGCTGTAATCCTAAGGCTCTGGTTACTAGTCGTCTGGCAACTGCTGTATCTGTCTGGGGTCTTTCTTTAGCCAACTGAAGGAGCTCTGAGGAAGGAAAAAGAGAGAGAGAGTTGGCAGAGAAGGAATAGAAGAATTGGGAAAGAATTGGAGAAGGAGCCTTATGAAGCCTGGCCCAATGGGCCCGAAGCTACAAATCATTTGATTTCATCAAGTAAATCAGATCTAATCTAAATGTACAGAAGATTTTGATGTTAGAATTTCTATCTATCTATCTATCTATCTATCTATCTATCTATCTATCTATCT